CACACACACACACACACACATACACACACACACACACACACACACACACACACACACACGGGACCCCTCTAGTAACGCACAAGTACACATAAATAAAAATAAAAGCAAATCTTAAAACAGAATAAATTACATGTCGTGAAGTTGCCCACTGATGATGATGAGGACCAGAGCATAAACCAGGGGACATCCAGGCTGAAGCAATCTTCCCCTTCTCTGGCTGTGTCACATGGATGTGAGAGTGATAACAGCCCCAGGGAGACTGAACAGCTATACATATTTATCTCTAGGGAAATAGGAGCCTCATTTGATTTTCTCCTCATCTCTTCTGTGATGGTCCTCCCTGACCTGTTTTCCTGAAATATTTTCTTACTTTCAGCTCTATCTGACATGGAGATTACAGCCCAGTCAATTATCTTTATTTTGGGTGGCTATGAATCCACCAGCAGCACGATTTCTTTCGCCCTGTATTTACTGGCCACTCACCCTGATATCCAGAAGACACTGCAGGAGGAGATCGATGGGGCTCTGCCCAATAAGGTAAATGGATGGTGCTTTAAAGAGGAGGAAAAAGGAGACATCGATTACCCTTAGTGGGTGTGTGTGTGTGTGTGTGTGTGTGTGTGTGTGTGTGTGTGTGCATCATAGACCTACACTAGGTATTTTTCTAAATCACTCTCCACTATGTTTTAAGACAGGCTTTCTCACAGAACCTCAAGTACATTAATTTTTTAGGCAGTCTCCCCAATGATCACCAGGCAGGCCTTTACACAGTGTCCCCCATCCCAATGCTGGGATTATAGATGTTTGCCACTGTGCCTGACTTTATGAATAATATTTATCTGACTCAGACTTGCGTAGTAGACACTTCACAATTTGAGACATCTTTAAACCCCAAGTAATAGTTATTCTAACCACTTTGTAACAGGCTGGATAGATGGCTCAATGGTTAAGGGCACTGGCTTCTCTTTCAGAAGATCCATCCAGGTTTGATTCCCAACCCCAAATGGTAGTTCTCAGCCATCTATAATTCCAGTTCCAAGGGATGTGAAACCCTCTTGTGACTTCTGTAGGTACTGCACTCATGTGATGCTCAAAACACACATGAGGGCAAAACATAAACACATAAAATAAAATAATTTAAAGCACTTATAAAATGTATTGTAAGTGCATAGGATCTTTTCAATGCTGAATTGAGCTTTGGAGCTACTGAAAACTCAACAGTACAATTCAGACCTATTAAAAGTTAATGTAAAATCCCAGCACAAATCTTTTTATTTTCTTCCCAGGAATCTCCCACCTATGATAAAGTGATGGAGATGGAGTACCTCGACATGGTGTTGAGTGAAACCCTCAGATTATACCCAAATGCTAACAGAATTTATCGGGCCTGTAAACAAGATGTTGAAATTGATGGTGTGTTTATTCTCAAAGGATTCTTAGTGATGGTACCAATTTATGCTCTTCACCATGACCCAGAGTACTGGCCAGAGCCTGAGGAATTCCGCCCTGAAAGGTACCAGAATACCCGGAGTGTGAACCCACCCTGAACCATGTATGCCTGTATATGCTATGATGTGTCTTATGGGAAGATGATCTAAATGTGATTTTGCATCCATTTGCATTCTGTGATGAGAATGGCAGAGAAAAGGAAGGAAACAGAGGAAAGGGGATGAGAGACAGGGAAGAAAATATGAGAATTTAAATACAGAGTGTTTTTCTTCCTTTACCTCAAGTAGCAAATGACCAACTTAAGTGTGAGGCAGGACCCATTTTCCTTCAGTCTAACTGGCACATGCTTTTCAGAGATGAACCCAGCATTATCCTGAATGGACTTTTAGAGTTTAGAGATCTATCCCATTTTTTCTCACATTACCCTGTCTCTTCTCAATCCTACAATGTTGATTCCCTAATTGTCCTCATCAAGTCTTCCTCCTGTTTTCAAATCTTCTATTTTCTTGTGGCTCATGAGTTTAATTAGGGTTGCTTGCATAAGTGTAGTAGGTAAAGAGTTATTTACTGGAGAATGAACAACTCACCAATAGCTACATCATGGAAGACAAACTACCCCCTACTCCAAAAATGATTGTCAATAGCTCTTCAGGGAGGTAGCACCTCATGATCTCCCTCCCCCATCCATGACACAGGGTATCAACATGGTTAATGTCTTGTGTAAGCAACCAGAGCTTCTGGGAGTGTGTGAGTACAATGGCTGTGTCCTGTCCAGGTCATAGTGTTTCACAGCACCCTTTCATTCCCTTGCTCTTACGTTATCTGCCCCCTCTTCTGAGATGTTCTCTGAACCTTGTTGGGAATGATATTGATGTCCCATTAAGTGCTGAGCACTCCTCCATCACTGTTTTTCAGCAATTTGATCAGTTATGAGTCTCAGCGTTAACTGTCTCCCTCAGCAATCAAAAGTTCTCTGATCAAGGCTGAGAGCAGCACTAATTTTTGTATGTAAACATAAGTATTTGGCAGACAGTTTGATATGATGTTTACTTAGCAAAACAACAGTAGTATATTCGCCATAGAGCCTATGACCTCCATAGCCATTAGATTTTGACCAGATTTGCAGTACCAGGCATTAATTCCCTTTGTAAATTGGAACTGCAATCTAACCAGACAGTGGTTGGTTACCCCTATCCCATAACACCATAATTACACTAGGGAACACAGAGGATAAATAGTCTGTCAAACAGCAGTTGCCTTACCTACCATCTGGAAACTCTTACAAGGCAAGGGAGATGGAAAGGACCTTTAGTGTACAATTTCTTACAGCCAAATACCTGGATGCTGAAGTTCAATGATCCTTTCCCAAAGTACCTGTATGTTACTATTTAGATGTCTAAAGGCAAACACATGTATGTAGCTCTTATGTTTCCACCCTTTGTTGACTTATCATTATTCTGTGTCTCCAGGTTCAGCAAGGAGAACAAGGGCAACATCAATCCTTATGTATACCTTCCCTTTGGTAATGGACCCAGGAACTGCATTGGCATGAGGTTTGCTCTCATGAACTTGAAACTTGCTCTCACTAAAGTGCTGCAGAACTTCTCCTTCCAACCTTGTAAAGAAACACAGGTGAGGGGAAAACTATCTCTGTAAATAATGTTTTATGGGAGACAGTTTTTTTCAACTGAAGGTTCTGTGTATAAAAACAAATCTGTGTGTTTGATGTTTGCTAATTTGTTTTATGACCAAATGAGTTATTTGTATCCAGGCAAGAGCTGAGTTGCCTTTGGTTCTGGGTCAATATAGAAAACAAGTGTAGCATTATGAAGAGTTAGTGTAGGCCAATATGACAGGATTACATGCATTGTGATTGAAGTTCCAGTCATGTCCACTGGAGATTAGATTTGTCATATACCAACAAGAGGTAGCTGTCATATTTCCATAAATCATATAACCTTTACTTCATATTCTGTTCTTATACTTCAAGTTCTTGTTCATTCCCCAATGAATCTTCCTCTTGGGTTTATTTCCTCATTTCTTTATACTCTACTTTGGGCTACTGGAGGTTGTTTTTCTATCACCTGTGCCAATACTTTGTAACTAATGCCTCCAGTTTAGTTGTGTTTTTTTTTCTCTCAGTATTGAAGGATATCCCTGTCTTTTCTATATCACTTCATATTAATCTTTCCACAATCTCCAAAACGTTATTGTGAAGAGTTTCTGCATTGAAAGTCATTGGTAAATGTTTTGAAGCATACCTTATAATTCTAATATTCTTCCATAAAAATACTGAGCTAATTTAAAAATTAATAGATAACACTTATGTATATACTTTATGCACATCTTTTTATGCATTCAAGGAAAACACATATATACTACTTAAATTTTAAAAGAAGTACATGGTACATTGGGAGAAAGCATTTCCATTTTCCTGAACAATTTGTTCTTGTTTCATGCAAAGGGATGGGTAAAATTTATGGGATGTATATATTTAGAATGTGTCTTCTCTGTGACAATTAGTTTTATGTCTGGATGAATAGAGGGTGACAGTGTTTATTCTGTGATTTCTGATTTAAGGCAGTTGTATGGCTTTACCTACACACAGCCTCATTTATGTTAGTACTTTAGTATGAAAGCATTTAAATCATAAGCATGGATAAGGTTTTGATAGACAAAGAAAAGTTCCTATTTTGAGAGCCAAGGGCACACCTGTCATGTGACAGATGATCTGGCAAGTTCCACTCATTTTAAATTTGACAATTCTCTATCTCCATATCAACTTTGATCCCCTCTTTCTCTTGTAACCAGAAGATTACTTGATTGGAGGCTTTCCTCCTCCATCACTGAGTAGCATGAGCCTAAAAAATCATTAAAAACACTGTAGGACTCAAAATTCTTCATTCAACCCATCTGTGAAAGCCAATAATAGATACTGGAAAAGCAAGCAAATATCTGTCTTCCTAAACACGACCTGAATGGGATCAACTGTACTGGTGACATATGATCTAGGAGCTGAGGGCTGTTCACAGAGGTGAAATTCACCCTCTCAGTGTTCAACTTGCAAGTTTCATCTAAACAAAAATTACTTTTCAGAACTTAAATAATCCATTATGACATATTAACTAAGAAACAGGCTCAAATATGTTAAACTCACTGGGCTTAGTGGTACATGCATTTAATACCAGCACTCAGGAAGCAGAAGCAGTTGGATCTCTATGAGCTCAAGTCCAGTCTGGTCCACAGAGTGAGTTGCAGAATAGCCACAGCTACAGAGTGAGACCCTGTCTTGAAAAAGAAAAACAAAACAAAACAGAAATTAAATTCATCTGTTTTACTCTTAGCGCAGAACAGAAATAACATAAACCAACATGACTTCATCTCAGGCCCTGTCTACAGTAGAGTCTCAGCAAATATTTTACCTTATCCAAATATGGAAGCATGCTTTCAACATCTAATTGACACAGCTTAGAGAATAACGTAGTCAAAGCATATGACCTTAAATAAAGCTTATATGTATCTGTAAAGCATCATCATCCTGGAAGGTTTTTTACATTTCTTTACAGTTTGTTGTTGGTTCACTCATTGATTCTCAATATTTTCTTCCACTGTTGCAGATACCAATGAAATTAAACAAAAAACTACTTCTTCAACCAGCAAAACCCATTGTTCTAAAGGTTATACCACGGGATGCGATCGTAACTGGAGTGTGACTTTCCCTCAAAGACTTCCACTGTGTTCTTCAAGAAGGTGATATGTAAGAACATTGGAATCTTTAATTTACTTCATGAATAAAACCCAGATGAAAATGTGGCTTAATTGACTGGCCTTGATGCATGGTTAAGGATCCAGTACATCCATTCACCTTTCTCAGTATCAATACAGAGTACCATAGAATGTAAAAAAATTGACTAAATCAGTTGACAGAATAAGAAATTCACCATCTCTGATCCACATGGGACCATGTTGACCCACATCTGGTTGTCTCCATCAATTTCCTTTAAGTTCTTTTGAGAGTACCATGGCTCTGTAATTTGATCAACAAATTTTAATGAAAATGTGAACTGTTATAACAACTCTAATTGTAAAATTGGTATCCTGTATTTTAGCTCCAATGTTCTACAATATTGTTACACTGAAAATATAAGTTAACATCTCTTTTAAAAACCCAACAAAGTATATTTTTACATTCTGTGAGAGCTTCATACAATGTATTTTGATCATATTAATTCCTCTCCTCCAAATCCTCCCAGATCTTTCCATAACATGAATCTTTTTTTTGTTTTTTGATGAACAGCACGAGGATTTATTATTGAAGCTTCTATATAGAAGGGCAAACTCTGCTCCTAAGAGCAAGAGCTGCAACTTGCTGAAGCCCCATGAGTGCTTTTTAAATGAAAAACCCACAAAACCCACAAGATTACAATTTCCATATAATGTCATTTCGATTGATTTATGTCTAGAAGCTAATTTCATAAGATCATTGTCTGGTTACAGAGTGATCACAGAGGGGAATACAGTTACACATCAGTGTGCACATTTTTCTTGAAACCTCAAGGGGGTATCATACAAGTCATGGGGGTCCTTCCTGGAACACTTGCAACTATCCCAGTCACAGTTGAGCACATCTCTTAACAGAAATCTTTTTACATTGTTACATTGAGGCAGGGGTAGTTAAACAATAGCTGAGTCAGCTTGCCCTTGGAACTAGATTTTTAGTTTCTCATTTCCTGGGGCTTGGGGGGTGTAAGCCTGAAGGGTTAGGGTCTTTCAAAAATACACTTGAAGATGAGGGGCCCAAGAAGCAGAGAGGAGGAGGAGGAGGAGAAGAAAAAGAAGAGAATCATGGGTATGACGGACACAATAGTATGCATTTCTCATCTCAGCCATTCAGCAGGATGAGGCAGGAGAATCACTTGAAGACTAAGACCAGCCTCCACTGGTCTTTTTCATTTTTTTGTTTTTTCAGACAGGGTTTCTCTGTGTAGCCTTGGCTGTTCTGGAACTCACTTTGTAGACCAGGCTGGCCTCGAACTCTCAGAGATCGGCCTGCCTCTACTTCCTGAGTGCTGGGCCACAACTGATCTTTTTTTTTAATTTTATTTTATTTTACAATACCATTCAGTTCTACATATCAGCCACGGGTTCCCCTATTTTCCCCCCTTCCCACACCCCCCCTTACCACCAGCATACCTCCCATTCCCACCTCCTCCAGGGCAAATTCTCCCCCCGCCCCGAGGACTGCAATCAACCTGGTAGACTCAGTCCAGGCAGGTCCAGTCCCTTCCTCCCAGACTGAGCCAAGTGTCCCTGCATAAGCTCCAGGTTTCAAA